TCCCCTTGGAATTTATACTGTCCAGTCCGTTAGGGTGAGTAGTGTCACTTCTGGATTTATTCTGTATGGGTTTGTATAGGGGGTCCAATTCTATGTTTGTTGATTGCATTACAGGTGGAGAACCATAACTCTAAGAATTCCCATGTGTCTGTTTTGGTTTGGGCTACGTATCAGAACTAACAACAAGACTCCTAAGACCACTAGGAATCACTAAAGACCCCATTCCCACAACATGCAGAACCAATATGGTTTACAAAATACCGTGCAATGACTACCACAAACATCCCATCAGAATACATGACAAGCTTTGCTTAATATTGGTACACTCAGACAATGAAGGCCATCAGTTTAAATGGGACAATGTAACTATAGTAGCCCAAGCCAAACATAGACACGCATGGGAATTCCTAAAGGTATGGTTCTCCACCCATAATGCAATCAACAAACACAGAATTGGGCTCCATATAAATGACAGTACTCATCATAATGGACCAGACAGCATAAATTACAAGCTGAGTAGAACAACATTTCTTCATCAGAAGCCTTACTGATGTCACCTAGCACAGTGATGAAACGTCTGAACAAAAACAAGCCACCTTGGCGAGCAATAATACAGGTATAGCTTGTGAAGCCCTCTTATGAATTAAAATCTCTAAACTTGGAGATAAGCCATGCCTTTGATCTGGACAGTAGAAAGACAGCCATGTCACTTTCAGGTTTCTCTATCAAAAGAGAATGTGTAGAAAATGCAGTTAAGTTCCTTATCTACAACACCCATGTCCCTGAATTTGTGTTGTATTTATAATTTATGACCCTGGCTTGATGATCACTTGCCACTATCTCTCACCTTTTATGGTCTCACTTTCACCTTTTGAGCTTGGATCTTTTCTAGTCTGAATATTAAGACTAATTGATCATTCAGTGAAAGTATGTTGAAAAAGCAATATAATGAAGAAAGAGATCTGCAATACATTTTCAGGTACAGAAAATGACTCCGTGGTATACGGTCAAAAAGCATTTTTGGTTTTATTAGAAATACTTGTAATACATTTAAAGACAAGCAAATTTCACAACTGGGAAGTTGCACAATGCTTAGTAATGGAATGGAATTTTTTTTAAAAAAAATTCTAGACAAATAAGACCCTGATCAACCTGGAGGTTTCTTTTTGTTTTGGAGTGAATAAAACACTTACAATAAAGATTCTAGTGCATGGATCAACTGGCTGGTATTGTATTACAGTAAATATACTTTTCCCAAAGGAAGAAAGCATGCAATACCTCTTGACAGATTACAATAGGCTTCCCCCCCAACAAACTGGCATTAATTGTTTGAATCACTGCTACCTGCTGCAAATGGGTGTGGTGGAGGGTGGGGGTAGAAGAGAAAGGAGTGTGATTCCTTCAAAGGCACAGTTCCACAGCTTCTGGCTCTCAGACTTCATTGTTCTTCACAGATGAACTTGGCTGATAGCCTACATACCCAGTGTGACCTTAATTTTTTTGCCACATAGCCTTAGCAGGGAAGTGTGTAATATATGTCAATCAAGACTGGTTTACCACCTGCCTTGGAAGGTGAGTGGTTGCTCCCTTGCTCCTGTAGGCTAGATTTAAATTGGCATTGCTCAAACATGAGAAACCTACGTCTTAAGACTAGTTTAGCACCTTTTAACCAGACCACATTTACCCAGAGCAATTCAAACAACCAATGCTTGTTAAAATTTGTACTTGAAGCAGTGACTGTATAATTAATTATACAGTCATTATTTAAGATAACACATGACTGATATGTAATATAGGCACTTCTAAATACCATGATTGTTCTATTAAAATCATGCCTGAACTGGTAAAAGGCACTAAGTAATTCACCCTCATTATTTTTAAAAAATTGTTCACAGTGAATGACACATACAAAAATATGTAAGATACCACTCTACACAAACTTTGAGACAATGTTCCCCATTAATGTACTTATGTTCACATATCAGAAACAATGTTGTTACATTGTTTTCATCCACAGATACAACAGGGCAGGAAAATGTCATTGTTGTTTGTAAAAGTAGTTTGTCTATTTAAATAGAAATTCAGTTGGATAAAAGCTGTGGCTTAAATCAGAACCAAGATACATCCATTATCTAATTATCCCTAATTTCACCTGAATGTTTGTTTTTGCTCTTGTTACAAAAACATGCAAGCAGCAATTTCATAGTAACATGTAGGATAGCCAGCCTGGCTATGCTCATTATCTGCATGCTTTAAAATTCTAAATATCTTAAGCAGAAAGAAATTGTATACATTTATTTTAAAATGTCAGTGATAAGGAATACTCTTCACCTTCTGACAATTTTAGGCCCGATTTTTTAAAAAAAACTCAGTAAATAACATCTTAAAATTTTCACTCGGGAATTTATCCACTAGAGCATTAGAATGGCAAAATGTCAAACAAAACAAATGGCTGAGACAGGAATGACAAATTCAGCATTCCAGCTGATTAACATTTTGAGATCTGATTCATGAAAGTGATTACAACTTGGACTTTTGCCTGGGCTGGATATTTTATTTTTTAAATGGAGGATGCGATTTTTTTTTCAAACAAACAGTTCTCATTACTTACCCTGTGCCAGATGAGGAAGTGGAAAAACAGGGTCTAACAAGTTGAATATACAGATCCACCTCACCATGGTCTGGGTAAGATGAACAGCAAGGCAACATTTAAAGGGATACTACACAAGTACATGAGGCAGAAAGTAACTGAAGAACATTTATAGTGAGGAGGCATGTGGGAAGTATCAATACTGCTATAGTCCTGGTGGGCTAAATGGCCTGTATCTGTGCTGTAAATTCTTACAGGGTTTCAGGCTGTTGATTCTCTGGCCATTGTAATAACACTTAGTCTGCAATGTGTCTCTGTGGCACAGGGGCATGTAGGAGTTTCTTTTATGACAACACAATTTTGTTCCGTACCAATTTGGACCATGTAAAACTGTTTACACTTTCACAGTGCAGATTTGTAATTTGTTCAGATCAGAGTTTACATAAAAATAGCATGACTGCTGGCCTGGCTTGAATACAGAATCTTTCTGCTGTGCTGTTAAGACAACATTAACCTTGTCCAGAGATATCAAGGTGTAGAGCTGGATGAACACAGCAGGCCAAGCAGCATCAGCAGAGCAGGAAGGCTGACGTTTCGGGCCTAGACCCTTTCAGCGGCAATGATCTGCAGTTAGTAAGGTTGTACAAAATAAGTTGTAACTTGATATTTCCTTCTCACACATTACCGTAGCTCCAATGGTTTTAAACTGAAGATGCAGAACTTTTACACAGCCTTGGTAAGATAGAAGAAAAGTGGCTCATTAGGCCAACTGTTTGTTTCCTCAAATTATCAATGACAGGGAGTTCAGCAAAATTCATCTTGGCAATGCACCAAGCACCCACATCCTTGACTGGAGTCAGCATAGCGATTTTGCAGACTTCTATATCACCACAGTGAGCTTATGGCAGGAGCGTCAGGACTCTTAACACTGGAGGAGCTCAGGTACATTCCACATGACTTTCTTAAAACATCATCTGTAATCTTTTCAAATATTGATTAAACAGTTACTTGAAGCTCAGGGTATTTCCAACTATGGGAATTTGTTATTAGAACACTAGGATCATCCCTCACTGTGAAGCTTCAGCTGTTGCACAGGCTTTGAGTAGCCAAATCTTGAGGGCGAACATCCTGTTCTAGAGTCTAAAATACTAGTACTTTCCAACCTGGATAGACAAAGGAACATCCAAAATACAAGGCTTCGCAGGGTTGATCAAGCAGCCAGTCAAACACCACTTCTCGATTGCCAGAACTTATGATCACCCGAAGTTTGAAACTGGCACCATTGCTGAAACCTGAACCCAAGCTAACAACTTCCATGTCAAAGGTCACTGATGACCCAGTGGAAACACACGGCAGCTGATTGGTCATTTCTTTTCCATTTACAAATACTGCCCCTAAAAGAACAGAGTTATGAAAATGAGTTATTCAAATACCACAGCACAGGCAATACCACAGTTTATTGCCCAACCCAATTTCCCTGGGAGATGGTAGCGATGTTAATATAATGCAATGACTCACTGTCATTTCAGTTAGGAATCAGCCACATTCGATATTCACAATAGACATGAAGCTAGGTAAAATGGCAGATTTCCTTCCCTACATGAGTGAATCAGGTGGGCTATGACCATAATCACATACTTTTACAGAGTCATACAGCAATGGAAACAGACCCTTATTATTTTTGATTTATTAACCAAATTTAAATTGGTCATCTACCATGTTAGGATTTGAAATTGCATCTCATTGATCCAGGCCTGTTGATTACTAGTAGCATAATCACTGTGCAATCACACCCTATATTTAATTCAAGATCAAGTCCAATTGCAGCAATGGGAATTGGAATGAGTGGGTAATTAAACATTTTCTACTTTCTCTCATGCTTCAATAAATCTTAATAAATGACTCAATATTGAGAGGCAACTGTTTTGTGCAGAGTTTGCACTTTTTGACTAACAAATAAGATAAATAAGCAGTTAATCCTTAAAATGATGCTAGTTGAGGGAAGCTGGTGTATTGACGACAGTTCCAGAAGAAATCGTTTTTGTGGGATTTTCAGAGATCACCCGTGCCACAAGAAGAGATGGTCACCAGCCTGGTTTAACATTGCCTCCAAATGATCAGATCTCTATGGAATGTATTATCTTCTCAGAATTTGCACTGCTGTATCAGCGATGGTAAAGCTCAAACTCAACTACCAACTGAATCAAGCAAACAGCAGCTGTGGGTGCGCACACCCAGTTTCCACTGTGTCGGCCAATTTAAGCCCAGGAGGGAGGGGAGGATGCTGCTACTGAACATTACTCAGCAACATCTACCAGGTCAGGTCTATCATATTGTGCAAACTTCTAGATCTGGAGAATCCTGAAGCAACAATGGTGAAAGTCATTAGCTATTACCAACATATTCAGAATTAATTCAGAGATCGCATGATCATAGAACACTTAATCTCAAGGTTCATACAGGAGCATGAGGTGACTGGGGAGGGACTTGTAGAAAACTAAGCTTGACCCACAGAAAACACCCCCTTTTTACCATTTGAGCTGATGCAAACAGCCTTGTCTCTTTGCAAGGAATCACACTCATTCTGTGGCTCAACACACACTCCGATACTGTCTCTCTTATCTGGTAGTCCTGCCGCCTCCATTCTGGGAACAAAACAGAAGTACAGTCTGTAAAAATACTCTGCTGAACGCAGTGTTAAGTGCAAGTTAGTGCTTAGGAAATGGAAAAAAAACTAACTTACGTTTGAAAAGCGCAATTGTCTCATAAATCAAGAGATAAGCTCATAGTATAGAGATATGGTATAAAAGTCCAGTTTTTTTTTGTCAGCAAGTATAGATTGACAGTTGGTTTATAAACCTGAATAGTAGCTCATTCAATCTCCAATAGCTCAGAGCTCTTTACAAGAATTATTACTACATTGTTCATTTACAGGACATGGGTATCACTGGCAAGGCCTGCATTTATTGCCGATCTCCGATTGCCCGTGGTGGTGGTGGTAATGATTTGCTGCACTCCGTGTGGCGAAAGTATACCCGACAGTATTATTTGGAATGGAGTTTCAGAATTTTGGCCCAGCAACAGTGAAGGAACAGCAATACAGTTCCAAAAGGACTGTGGGGAACTTGAATTTGTTGGTGTTCCCATGATTCTGTTACCCTAGTTCTTCCAGGCCACATAGGTCATAGGTTTGTAAGGTGCTCCTGAAGGAACAATGATGAGTTGCTATAGTGCATCTTGTAAATGGTACACTGCTGCCACTGTGTGTCAGTAGTGCAGGAAGTGAATATTTCAGATGGTACATCCGAAACTTTAACAAAAACTTCAACAGAATTCTACTCATTATCCTGTTTGTGTTGAAGGAGGAAATGCCCTTATAACAGAGGCAATGTGGCTAAATCAGCTTCTTTATAAACTGAAAACTAGCCCACACTTCCAGTTTAGTGCATTAATATTAAAAATACAATGGAGTAACAATTACCTCTAAATTTGAGTTACTTTAATACAAATGAACAATAATTAACTCTCCCATGTCCTCGCCCCCTACCCCACATACCAGGCCTTGTTATCTCACAGCCTGCCATTACACACTATCTTATTGTTAGTCACTAACAGTCCGCATTAGCAGCTATTCACCTTCTGAGCCAGATCGTTATTAACTGCTTTTAGGGGGAGGGATGGCCGAGTGGTATTACTGCAGAAAGATAATCCAGAGACCCAGATAACATTTTGGGCGGCCTGGTGGCTCAGTGGTTAGCACTGTTGCCTCTCAGTGCCAGGGACCCAGGTTCGATTCCAGCCTCGGGCAACTGTCTTTGTGGAGTTTGCACATTCTCCCAGTGTATGCGTGGGTTTCCTCCGGGTGCTCTGTTTCCTGCCACAATCCAAAGATGTGCAGACTAGGTGGATTGGCCATGCTAAGTTAACCGTAGTGTTCAGGGGTTTATAGATTAGGTGGGTTATAGGGAGATGGGTCTGGGTGGGATGCTGAGGGTCGGTGTGGACTTGTTGGGCCGAAGAGCCTGTTTCCACACTGTAGGGATTCTATGATCTATGATATCCAAATGCTCTTCTTTCTCTCTTCAGGCACTATCCTTTATCCTATTGTTTACTCCCTACCCCAGCCCCCTCCCTATTTTCTCCACATGAACCAACATCTTCTCAGCTACCATCAGTTCTGGGGAAGGGTCACCGGAGCCGAAATATTAACTCTGATTTTTTTCTTCAAAGATACTGCCAGACCTGCTGAGCTTTTCCAGCAACTTCTGTTTTTGTTCCTGATTTACAGCATCCACAGTCCTTTCGGTTTTTATTTACTATTTAACTCACTACCACATCTCTTCTAGGCATACCCACCTTGAAATTCTGCTCCTCTCTTAGATGGGATTTCTGTTCCAATCTTTCTTCTTGCCCACCGACATTAGTTTCACCGTCACTCCTAGTGTTTGACCAAGTATTTATCAAATCTCATTTCCACGGCCATATCACATTCCTCAGTGACTGCCTCCAGCTCAGACTCACCCCACGTGGTTTCCAACTGAAGTTTCATCCCTCATATTTTGAATCCTCCCAGGATCACAGATATCTCTGTGATGTTCAATGTTCCATTGACAGCTGCTCTCGCTGCATCCTGAGATCCACATTCAGTGCCATGCGGCATCACATGCACACTCTCAACCTTACTCTCCAACAGCATCGCATCACGCTGGCTCAGGGCTGCACCGCTCCGCAGTTCCACTTCATTCATCGCGCTAACAAGAAACTTTTCAGGAATCAAGACCCATAAGATTCAACAACTCAGATACCCATGGCCCTCTGAAACTTTCCTCTCCTCCCCTTCCCTCTGATTCTATCCCCTCCCACAACCTCACCTCCCATCGTGTATTCACCATTCCTCCTAACCTTCTGCTCTCCGATGCTGAACACTCTGTACTCAGCAACAGTCTCAGCTTTATTCCTGTGTCCCCACCCTAACGAATTTCGGGCAGGTCGTGATGTCAAACTCTTCTTCTGCCGCCTTTGGCTCCACGCCCCTTTCTTTGGCCAAGAGTCCTCTCCCCATTGGACAGACCCCTTCACCCAGTTTCAACACTCTCCCTCCACCTGGATCCCTCCCTTTGGCCTTTTACCTGCACTCAATCTGTTCATTGAGAACTGTTAACTTGATTGTGGTCACCTCAATTTCTCTGCCTGCCCACCTCTTCACCAAATCCAACCTATCTACCTCTGAACTGACTGCACTGTGTGTGCTTAGATCTAACCCTGACTTTGTTATTAAGCCTGCTGATAAGGGTGGTGCTTTTGTAATTTGGCATACTGACCTCTACATTGCAGAGGCTCAGTGCCAAGCTTCAAATACCTCCTCCTATCTTCCCCTGGACCATGACTCCACCATTACACATCAGGTCATTGTATCAACTATGGTAACTATTCTCCCTTTACCTCTAAATCTGAGTTACTTTAATACAAATGAACAATAATTAACTCTGAGATAGTAGGAACTGCAGATGCTGGAGAATCCGAGACAACAAAGTGCAGGGCTGGATGAACACAGCAGGCCAAGCAGCATCATAGGAGCA